TCAGCTATCCCTTAGATCGGTATTAAGTTTATCAATATTGTACAATTTTTCTTTTCTCACCACCTTCACCTCGATATTCTTGACTTATTCCCTCAAATTTCATTTTGCTGCAGATTTAACTCTTCTCTGTCCTGGTGATCCCTGGTGTTTCTACTTCTAGCCTTAACATTTCTACTTCTGAATCGCCTTATTATCTTCATCATCGTCAGAAAATAAAGCTCACAAAGAGTTCAGCGGATATTTCACAGCATTCAGCCTAAAACATGGATTAATGTGGAAGAAATGGAAAGCTCATAAAGGATAGTATTGGGCTCTAGAACAACATGGTCACCTTTTTCTTTTCTCCCTTACATTACAATTATGTATGACTTCAGTAGGAATCGTGCATTGGCTTTTATTTTTTGGCTTTGAACCGTATACTGGATCAACGTGGGAGCTTAGAATTCACATCACCCATTTGTGAATTGCAGTTTAGAGAGGAAAGGCCGTCCGGTAGCCCACAGCTGTTGCAACTCCTGATACCGCCTCACCACGCTAAAGACAGGTAACCGACAAACCACACTTTTACGTCTATTGCAGTAAAAGAGGGTCTCAGGTACGTTTATCCTTGTAACCGAAATTAATGGAACTGCTAGGCACCACAAAGGTGCTCACACCTCAAGTTGACATTTCTTACGATGCTTTGATTTTATACGCGATCCAACCCATCTCTTTCTCAGCAATTCAAAAATGTTATAATCAGCTTTGACTTGGAGCCTCATGTTTATTTTTCAATAGATAAAGCGAATTTGGAAAACCTAAAACATTCACCGACATTGATTTAAGTATTCGTATCCAACCAACGGCAAGCGTCCATATGCCACCTTACTCATTCATGATCTAGGCACACGCCAAATACATAAAGGAGCTATTTTTTCCAATTTAAGCTCCTTGTGGGTAGGTCACAGATCCCCGATTTGGACTCACGCGAAAAGTCATGTAATTTTATGACTTTGTATGGACTGATTCTCTATGTTGGTGTTTGATTCCTACAAATCGTGTCGGATGTAACTGGAGCACATGTGTGTTGGGGGCAGAGTGGAGTCGGTGCATCTCTTGTGAAATGAAGACTTGCTCATGCGTGCATTATCAGCGATTTCACTAGAGAGGGCAAGCATGTGCGGAAATTGGATCACGTTTATTGTGGGCTTAAGCTTGCATCACCACCATCTCTCGCTACTCATTCGAGCCCCCGTAACACCTTAGGAGGCGTTGTCTAAGATGTTTGAGATTAGGATGTCAACATAAACTGAAAACATATAGGTAGGCTGTTGCAGTTTCTCATTTGCCTAGGCCTCTTCCTCTCACCTTCCCCGTCCACATTACAGCTGATCAACCAGAATGGACTGCATGCATTTGGAAAACTTGTTAAAAGCCTACACCGGTTTGGATACTCCAAAGGCGCTAAAACATAGTCGTACTTTTCTACACCTTCAAAAGCAACATAACGCTTCTTTTAATTTGAAATAAAATATTGAAATGTTCTACCAAATTGGGGATATATTTGGTGAATATATGTTGCGAATGGGGACGGTTTTTACCTGACACTGAGCACACTTTAATACGTGCCGACTTAATGGTTATAATAACTCGAAAGAAACCATCACTTTAGAAGGTTCCAAATAAGTGGTTATGAAAGTATGTCATGCCAACCAGTAAAGCCCTTCTTTATTAAATTCTTTTTAAATAATTGCAATGAACTTCTACTCAATTCCCGCTTTGAACATTTAGCCAAGCTGCCTACATATCTAGTTCTCTTTAACAGACAAAAATAGCAGTAATAAAGTGCAGTTTAGTGAAGAGGATTTTACTTATGCCGATCTGCTCCGTTAATAGGAGTTTCTATGAGCTAAAAATTTCATTCTCAGTGTATTTCTGATCGTGTTTGCCAGAGAAGAGTATTAAAGTGTTATATTAGAGATGATCTGAACCAGATAAACTGCGAGAAAGCGTTGTGACTTACCTTCTGTTCTAATGGACTTTGATATTCAAAATACGTGAACGCTTTATGAATGTGCATGAACACCTCTACAGCCTTGGATTTACAGGACTATAATTACCCCTTTCTCTGACACTACGGTATATGGTCAAGTGAATTGGTCAAGAAACGGCCATTTAATACTCCATTATATCTATCACAGAATTATTCATGATAAAGGTGATTAGCTCATTTTATTAGTTCACATAAAGCACATAGCATTAAAAGTTATTACTCAATGAACGAAATTTGTTGGATGGTAATGAATCTCACCTAAACGAGATGGTGCTGTAAGGCGATATCTGTCTCTAACTTACCCATTTTTGTCCCAGCTATTACCCCACACTTCGTATTGAAAATGAAATGCTTATTGGCCCTCCCGTTCAACTGTTTCATTTTTCAGCCTCAATATAGTGAGGTAAAATTACAGAACTATAATGGTCAAGTAATTCAAGTGAATTGTAAATCAAATGGGCTAAATGAAATGCGTCAGAAATCGTAAGATGCCAGTACTGATTCGTCCGGTTGCCTCGTTTCGTTTGTGTATTTACCTTACTAAATGCATCTTTCACAACTACGGGTAAATTATGAGGTTCATCTCAGAAATCAAATTCACAGGAATAATACTTAACCAATAGCCCTTAGAAGGACCATCTGCCTTTGTGCTAATTTAAATTCCAAAACGTCATTAGCATTGGTAATCAGAAGATGGAGCTAAGCATTAAAAGCAAAATTAACTATTTCTGGGTTCTTTATGGGTCGAATTAGGAATATACGGCTTTAGTTGTCACAGTTTTCGCATATAAATTTCAAATGCTAATTAAGTACCTCAATTATCGTAAAATTCATAGGCTTTTCAGTCATATAGACTTCAACTAAAGGCATTCGAAGTTCTTTAGTTCCACAACCCATTGCTGCGCCAAGAGATGACCTGTTAACTTCACACCCGATTTTCACCACCATACACAAGTGAAAATGCAACAATGAACATGTCTACCATGACAACAGCTTCGGAGAAAAAAGGTGATGTAATAGAGATGGAGATTAGGCCACAGCTGCAGGTGTGATAGCAACCGAATAGGTCCATGAGGCCATGTTTCAATTTATGAACCACTAGGTGTACAGATGGAGAGCAGAAAATGTTCTTGTAACACACTAAATACACAAGTGAAGTTCTAAAAATGCTAGAGTTTTGCATCCATAGTATCAAGCTATTCAAAATCTGGTTTTAATCTATAAAATGTGTCATTAGTTTGCCACGATGCATACTGCTGACCTACATTGAATATGAGCGACTATTATGTTTGCTTTTTTCTAAAATAAATCTTAATAGATACTTTATAAAGATATCACTCCCATTAGATTTCACTTTGGGCAAGTTAACGCGAGTTTAAGCTGTGCACGCCCAGTTCGATAACAAATAAAGGCGCCTAGGTCTTTCCTATGTGTCACGATCTCAACATTTTAACCTCCCCAACCAGCATACTGGGAGTCTGGATTAGAAAGATACATGAATGATAACGAAGATAGTGTTAATCACCGTCCAACCCATTACTAGCTTTTCCCCCTTTTGTTACAGGGGTATGACCCTCAGGTCAGGTTACTTGCAACGGCTCTAATTCTCAGTCCACGTGAGTGTCTGCCAAATTTCATCAGTGGTTTTAAGTACTACATTGCATCCTAATTATAGCTAGTTACCAGCTCTTTCGTGGTATCTTTCCTAAATTTGTAAAATGTTAAACTAATGGGTCATTGTATGAATATTAGCAAATTTTTGTTGGAGAGATTCTTAATCACTGAAAATAATAGAAATTAAACATGTTAGTGTTACTACGCCTTTTCCGTATAAATTTTCCCAAACTTTAATAAGTAAATGCCACGATTTCCGTAAAAAAAACAAATGCACAAGTCTTTACATGTAACTTTAATACTAAATGCAGGTTTGAGCATAAGCACAAAAGCAGTATTTTTATCGCTGACTTTCATTGTGTGCAGTGAGTGGCCCCGAACTCCAGTGACAGGTTACGACTTCTACACCATCGACCCTCCTTACTGTTTGGCGTTAAGAGCAGAAATTAGGCGGAACACCTATTCCAACATATTGCATAAAAGAGATTGTACGCTTTTTAGTGATGGGAAAGCATCCGTGAATTCCTGACGTCTTTATTAGTAGATTTGTTCGTGATCTTGAACAGGAATAACGAATACATTTGTTTTGAAGTAGCAAATATTTGGCTTCAAGTTTATTTAGCTTGCCTATATTTAAAGATTTGAATAATCTCTGTATCGTCCAAGCTTTGCACTAATAATGAAATAAAATGGTGCTACTTCTTCAATCATCTCTTCCTATTTTCGGCCTACATTTTCTGCCAAATGAATCTTTTCCGGGTGAGCTGCTCCAGCATCTTATTAGGGTTTTAAAATGTTATTTGCCCTTGAAACCAACTAATTTCTTGGAATGAAAAAAGGTAGACTGACATCTACAAATTAGTATTTATGTTGCTGCGGTGATACTACGCTTGAACAAGTCACAAAAGCAACGACTTGTGGGCAGACTTATTTCGACAGATTAATCGACTGGCTGACGACTTTGTTCGTTAAAAAATCCCTGTGCAAAATATCAGTCTTTTTTATGTAATTAATAACGATTGTTCGGGAAAGACTTTGGGATACTTCATCCTAATAAATAATAGGTTCTTCTCATCACCAACTCTTCCTATAGGCTAAACGATACAGCGAATTCAGAGAGCTTGAACGTAAGAATACTACCCTCTGCCCTTCGTCCCAAAAGTAGCGCCTCATCAACGCATCCACAAAACATGGATGTCTTTGACGTACGACCACCTAGGAATGAATGAAGTAAATTAGCTTGCGGGTGTTACGAATTTCATGGTTGCGTAATTGCATTGAGATGGAACGGCAGTCATAAGTGAAGGCTGCCTATTCAGATGTGGAGGCACTAATACCATTGCGATATGGGTGAATGAATTGGATGCGTTCGACTTTGGGCACCTCAGTGAAGCCCCTCCTTTCTCCCCACCCTCTGCCGACCGCCTCCCTAACTGTTCATGCACGAATCGACCGTGCGCAGGATTCACTCAGTGTCTGCAATCAGGGCGCCGTCGGAATTGGACCTCGGTGCGTAAATAGCTGCAATGATTCCAAACAGTGACTTCACCACATGTTTACCTGCATTTAGGAATTCCGTAAAATATGTTTGATCATTAATTTAATAAATCAAGGTGAGGGAAAAATTCATCTCTTTTGAGGCACATAATGATACTGTAATATTGATTCTTACTACTTATCTAGAAATAAAGATAAGAATACGAACAGATGCCATTGTAGTAGGTTAAAAAGGCTTCACTGATTTTTTTACCTATCGTAAGAAACAGTCATGTACTTTTTTGAAGCACTTCCTGAAGTTGGTGCAACAATTAATTTGATTTACATATAGAGGTAAAGGCTTCCAAAATGATTACAAAGCCACTTATACGCTTCATATAATTTAACTCTAGCCATTTATTTACGATGTCTGAAATTTTAGCGGAGGCAAAATTCCTATCCCAATCCGCCACGATTGCTCGACTTTGCGTGACCTTCACGGATCAGCGGGCCCATCCTTGGTTGACTGCGCTCGCCGCCCTAACAACTACCGTCTCTCGGTCCAATTGGACACGGAGACCGCGGCTGCACGGCCAGGCGAACAGGTGCAGCACATATCCGCATGTCTGATCACACAGCCAAGACCTCCACAAACAGTTTAGTTATTACGAATCAATCTGTCAGTGAATTGCATCCCTTTATTGTTTTTCCTATCCGCGCTGATTCTTAGAAACTGCAACTTTCTTTGACCTATCCTCCTACATGGACTCACTTTCCGAAGCAAAAGTGGACATGAGACTAATAGACCACTTTACTTAAGGATGAGGTCATTTGGCCGCCTAAATTATCGTCATATTTAATCAAAATTTGATAACTATTTCAGCTTCATTAATGCTGTTCATTTTGCACTTCTGATAACCACATTATTTTAATATTATATTTCTCGAGTCTATTTGTTCTGTAAGGACTAAAAGCATACTTCCCACCTTATATCAAATTTAGTAGGAAACCATGAAGACAATTGAAATTCTATCGTAATTTTGGTGGGTCATGCATAAGTTAATTAGGAAATTAGTGCCTCAAAGAAATGTAATCTTCACATTTGACTCTAAATCCACAGGTAAATTACAGTTGATGCTCTGAACTCTGAGGTAATAAAGTTTGAGTTCCCAAAACGGTTGAACAACTCTAAAACGAAATGAATTATACTACTGAATTAGGTGTAGACAAATTATGGGGAAGAGATTATTGCTAATTCATTTCTTCTGTTTTAATCCAAATCCCAACTGGAGGCACAATGAATCGTGGTTTATCTTATGTTTACAGTTCGGATCAGACACTCATTCAAAGTGTGGGTTTTACGAAGTTTGGACGGTCGGCTTCACTAGTTGTTTCTTAAACCATTTGTCCACTTTTCCAATCAAACGAGACTCGACAGGTTGCATCGCCTCCATGTTGCTACCCAAATTAAAGCCCGGAGAGCCTGCACAATGCCGACTTTCCTCACTTTAGTAGCTGAGCCGTCTAGCAAGAAAGTAGTGGTACAGATGGTCGTTCGATTTAGCAGATTACTCCGTCATATGGTCTGCGTAAATGTGTGGGTACATCGCAATTTAACAAGCAAAAAGCCCTTGCAATGGCTCACCATTAGTTAAAGAAAGGTGAATTGTGCAGAGCTGGTGTGAACAAGTGGTAACAGTCACTTCAACTTGCCCACTTTTGGCTGCAGAAAATCAATTAGAATGAAGAATAAAAATACAGGTCTCTTTCCCTCAAGGTGGGATTTTAGGGTGAGACTCGACTTAATAATTTCCTAGGGGAGTTATGACCCTCATGGGGTTATGTTGACTGCTTTGTTGCCATCACAACCACAAACTCCCCCATCCTCATGTTTCAGCTCGACAAGATTTTGTGATGATTTATTGCCTTAAACCAAGGATACCAAGTCAATAGGTACAATAATTAGTACTTGGGGTGTTTGGGCTTTTCGGTCACAATGGCAGAACGATATGGAGTAAACACAACCTATAAATTTGGCCTAGCTTGTGAAGGAAGCAGTAATTCACAATGCAAATTTATTGTAGCATAATGCATTTTTGCTTGGGTATACGTTTTAAATAACCAGCTTTGTGACCAAGCGGCATCACCGATTCCACAAACTTTGGTAATCTGTGACCCTTCCCTACACTACTCGAATATGAGGTGTCTCCGTCTACCCGCTCTTCTCAACCAAAGGATGTGAAGTTGTAAGTGGAAGAAAGAATTATTAAAGCCGCTACAGTAGTAACTATCTCATCAATGAAAATATTTACGGCACTTCGAACGATTAAGGAATAAGTTTACTGGGAGGTTAATGACTCAATTCCCTTCTCATAAGTAGAGGGAAAAGTGAAAGTTAATGATGTAATTGAAATAGGAAAACTTTATTATGTACGAATTTGTTAAATCCACAACTCTAAAGGGACATTTAATTCATTTTTCGATATTTTTTGCACTATATGCCATCACTATGGTCTTAAGCACCACTAAGAAACGGAATTTGGTCGTTTAAGGACACAGCTACCATTCCCAATGCATGTCGGGACAGGAAAGCAACAGCTAGTGTGAGACCTTCAGTCACCCCGATCCCTCAACTTCATACAAATATTCACAATAGTTAATCCACAAAACAGTTCCGATCAGCCGATCAAATCAGGCTTAGGACACCAAGTGCAAATAAAGAATGGAAACCTAGTTGAAATAAAAGTGCCGATGTCAGGCTTTTCATATGTGGAAGTTATTTGGGAAGAACAATACCCAAATCCCAGCATTCACACACATAAAACAGCGGATTTACTGACTCTAAGAGTAATTTTTACAGTTGTAGGTATGTAAAATTGACCAAGGAAGCAAATATTTTATGTAAATGAGTGATTAACCAATTAAATATTACACTAATTTGAATCAAAAGGCTATTTAACCTACCAAGTAGAAATAAAATTGGTTGATCACATTACCATTCTTACAATTGTAGAATTTATTTAGGAAAGGCTCAATTGGGAAGATCTCATTTTAGTAGACTTTTGAATTGCAGAAGTGTTGCATATGATGCAGCGCTCTGAGACTTCCCTGAAGACAAAAGAAGACAATACTCGGGCGGAATGTGCATTGCCGACGTACAGTAGTGCTTGGGGCTACTGGCATGGCCTGGAGGCCAGACCACCCATCGGAGGTACAATGACGGCGCCCTAAGTGGCTCGCCACCAAAATTGCGAATTAAATACGCGATTAAAGTGTAGCATTTGATATTCCGTCTACCTTATTAATTGAGTAATATATTATATGCGGTATGGAAAGATGATGTCCTAGAAGCCATAGGTATGAACGCAAAGACTTAATAAATTTAGCACTTAATGAACCAGTGTTGTTCATCAGACCTCCTAAAATGAGGTAGAGCTGGAGCTGAAGACAGGAAAATCCGAAAATAAGTCTCATTCGCTATCTCTTAACATAAATGAGATATTTTTGCTTTGCTACTTTGGTGCTATGGATAGGCTGAGACTTGGATTTATCAGCTGCTCTGCTGCCTTCAATGAATGGCTTAGGTCAAGTTTCTGGTTAGTAAATATACAAACTGAAAATATGTGACTGGTAAATTACTTTGTAAAATCAACAAAATAATTCGGGATTTTAAAGGAATGAAAAAATTTTTTTTGCATAAGAAAATTTACTCATGACTGCAAAATCTAGAAACATTAACAAGCAAATAACATTACAATTTACTCATCCTAGAGTAACCTGTCTGATGCTGTAAGCCGTTCAGGACGCAGTTGTGAAGATTTTTATCAAGTGCAATAGTTGTTGTGGTTCATTTTAAATGCGATGCAGAATGCCTAGTCGAAGAAAGAAGTAGTCGGTTTTGGAAGGATTGCGCTTATCCACGAATATTACAGATAAAGTTTAGATATAATGGATGGGCAATGACAAATCGTATCAGCGAGGCGAACAATTACACAATGCAGCAAAAAAGCCAGAAAGAAGACCCTCAGAGCCAATTTTTATTAATAAGAATGCGTTGGAATCGTACAAAATGCACTTACAGAAGTAGGGCTCAGCTTTGACCTGTAAATGAAGCCATAGGATGATTGCTTTGATTTGTGAACAATCTTCGATTTATATTCTGGTATTTGTGCATAGGATAGCATAAATTAGAAGGTGGACCACGTAAACTATCACTGAGGTTTTTGGTGGAACAAGTAAGTAAGCAAGGAAAAAATGCCAATTCTCACAATTCTCAGTAAAATCTCGATAAGATACTGTTTTGTCAAAAGGAATGACAGTGAATAAAGACCGCATGCACTTAGATCAAGCTCTATAGGTTCTTAGGGCCTGGTAAGTTACTACAGGCATTGTGTTAGAGCTTTTACTAAAATCGCAAGTCAGCCATATAAGCTAGTGGAAAGACATGTTAATGAAGATTTTAAATAGACAAAAATAAAACATGCTAAAGGGTTCAAAGCCCTATTTGACATCGATTGTACCACTACCCAATTTCGAACCACCTGCCCCGCCAGTCACTCTGGACAATGCCACTAACGATACATCTGTAGGTGGCGTACTCTCACGTAAGGATGCACAAGTTTGAGAATATGTTATCACTTCCAACTTCAACAAGCAAATATGCCAGAAAAGACCTACCCATAGGGGGAACAATTGCTATTTCAACTAAATTTAGACCAAGATGAAATGGTGAGTATCTGCTGAATATCATGTTTCTGGGTAAACCAATTAAATACTAATGAAGAAATACGCAATGCTCTGATCGCAATACAGGTTTAATGTACAGGAAGTATCTTGCACTCGCTTGAAAAAATAAAAGCAAAGGTGGCATTATTACCGGAAGTGACCGAAACTCTCCCTAAATAGTGAGGTTTAGTTGTCTGCAAGATAGAACTAAAGAACCTTATATCCTACTGCTTTTAGGGTTTGTTAGTACAAATAGTCCTTCAAGACTTACACAAGTAATTAGGCCATGTAGAAGTGAAGAAAGTGAGAGACGCTTCAGGAAAAAAGGTATTGGTGACCTTCAGCTACCCAAGCCATACGTGATTTCTGCTGGACCTCCATCTAAGTGAGCCCACATCACGTCTGTCACAATACTTTTATCTAATGTCCCAAAAGGTCCAGGAGAGAGCAGCCGCAGACATTCCCGGCCCCTTACTGAAAGGTTACCATCGCCTAAAACTATAGGCCACTTCACAAAAGTTGTCAAGTCAGAACGTCTGAATATCAGAAACGCTTAAGCGGTAGCTTCTGCTTTCTTAAACGAACATGGTGCTAACTTTGAGAGCTAACTTTTATTGAACTACGCAAAACTTCTAAGGTCGTAATGACAAGCACAATAGCCAATGAACAGGTAGATAGAGGAAAGTCGTACCGCACAAGACAGCCTATCAAGAATGAGATCTATTATTGCTCCAAAGACTCGTTCCACTCCTGCTGTACATAGTCACTTCCATTACCCTTAAATTCAGGGGGAATTTTAGGTGAACCAGAACAAAAGAATTACTTTATCCACAATTTACAGTTCCGTGTCTGACCAATCGCTCTACACTGTAATAAAATCCGGCCTTACAAAGTGTAATATTCTTGCCATTCTCCCTTTACCTCCGGTTTTGGGCCCCTGGATTGAGAAGATGGGTTATTAGAAGGAATTATATACTGCTGAAAAGTACAATTAATCGTATGGGAAATCAAAGTTTATTGCTTCCTTATGGACTAAAATCGCCTTCTTATCCATAAGGTTGTTCCAATCCACCTGATCACCATTCAAGAGGTAGGTTCCAACAAAAGTAAAGTAAAGGCACCCCTAACCTACATGCGATGGTGGCGTCTAAAGGCGATAAGTTGGCTGTTTATCTCTCTGCTTTAGTAAAGAGCGACCTTGTATTTTGGTTATTGCGCATTGGTCAGGTGGGCTAGCCTCCGAACCATACCAGTAGTGTAATACGATAGTGGTTTATCCCTCGGTTCTAGTGAGGCGCCACTTTTGGCTTTGAATTAGCCCCCTTGTACCTCGCTGCGTGGGCCGGCCTTTTGGGCCATGCCAATAGCCTCGTGCTGAATATATATGTTCTGCCCGAGGATTGTGTCTTCTTTCGTCATCAGGGAGTCTCGGGACGCTACAGTAGTCTCAGTCCCTTCTACATATAAAATACGCATATTCTGCCTGAGCATTGTATCTGCTTTCGTCTTCAAAGAAGTTTTGAGGAGCTACATATATGGCAAAAAACGAAAAATAGGCAACATACCTGCAAAGGAAATAGATAATGCCTTCAAGGAGGAATCAAAACTAATGCTCAAAACAAAGGGAGAGCAATGCAAACCATTTGATTGCAAAAAACCTATTATGTATTAGGCGTGTTCTTTGTACACATCTCATAACTGATGTAACGCCATTATTTCGCACACATACTGCAAACAATAACTACTTGCCCAATTAAAAAGGCATCTTAAATGTCAAGTCAGTACGGCTATGTTAACATATTTAAGGTAAGGCCAAACGATCACACAGTATTGTCATGACATTAAAATCAGTACTCTTTGTGGTTCTAGGAGATTTTATGAAAAAAATACCCATTCTAATTTAAAAAAGTTTTCTGCTAAAAATGTCGCACAAATACTGCTAATTAGCATGCGTAAAGAACTTTGAATTCTGTGTGTTTTAACCCACTAATTCGCTTACACGTCTGACTCACCGCATTTATAAACGACCTGGTAGGTTGGTATTAATGGTAATGCCTGCCAGTTGGGAGCAAGGTCAGCTCTAGGGGCTTCGTTGGTAGAAGGTTTCTAACTGAGGATGCTTAAATTTGCTGTTTTGAAACTGTCTTGATCCTTTGCAGGCATGGTATCTTGTCTTTCACGAGGGCAAAATTCATTTTCTCTTGTGTTTAAGACTGGAATATTCATTTTACATTGATATTTTCTGGGAGCGGGTCTCTAGTTCTGTTATATAGGGGCATACTGGTTTGTTGGCATTGCGCTTTACGTCTTGCATAACCCAGCAAGTTGTGCTTGTGGTAGATCTTTTGGAATATTCCAGGATTGTTTGGCCTCCTAACCTTCCACTGCCTGCCTGCTTGTAGTCGCTTAAGTTATTCCGATGTAATTCTAAATTTAAGGACTTCTCATATTATTTGTCTTACTTTTTGAATCTGGAACGCAGTATTTCATCGTGCAATTCTTTTTGAATTAGGAAGGGCTGCCATGCTTACCACTAAACGAATTGGACAACGCTTGACAATTGGATAATATTTTAACTGCATTTATTCAACTTTGAGAATATTAAACCTATATTCAAGTGTGGTGATGCGCTGCAGGCAAGACATTTCTCGACTGTGGAGCGGTTCCTCATCCTTCCTCTTCTTAATCTCCCTCGCACTCCTCACTTGGAATGCCTTTTCCGTTTCCGGTCTAGACTGTACTAAAGCAAAGCGAGACTGGCTCAACTACCGGTACAAAGTACTCACCACTAATGCCATCTCACCTTCCTACAGTGAGTCGACTTTCTAACATTTTCAGCCATTCTCTGTAGGTCAAACGATCTGCCCGATTATCGAGAGTACCTCATGTTGTGATAAGCAGATGGAAATGGATATATATACTGTTGGTGAAAGTGAGCTCCCTACCTCTCTTGCTAACTGGCTTGCGCCCGTTGCTGAACAAATGGAAAGCGATAGTCTAGCCCTTGACTGTGAGTTTATGTTTGCTTTAATCAATTGTATTGACTATATGATGCCGTCCCTTAAAGCGCTATTTTTAAGGTTTAAAGGTAAATATTATGCAAAACTCAGCATACCCTGTCGTTTTTGAAGTCCTACTTTTGATCCGTAGTACGCTTATCCGATTCATTTCTGACCTTTTCTGCTTTTTTATTTTTTTGTCCAAGTAAAGCAGTAAATTTTACTACTTGTTTTCCTCTCAATTGCTTATCTTAATTTCCATTCTATCTACCAAAACGCTGTAATAACTAGTAACAGTGCTTATTTCTTCTACTTCTAGGATTTCTTTTTTGATTTTTAAACATATAGTTTTGTATCACAACTTGTTTCAAGTAGTATATCTGACCATTCCTTTTCTCTCCTATTTATTTATTTTAAACGTCGTGCATCGTCATTCAATCATTGCAGTGCAAAAAGCAATGTCACTAAAAACCATGTCCACCCGAGGATAGCGTTTTTCACACATGTCGTTAAATCTCCAAACCCCAGTCGAATGTGCGGTTGTGGTAAACCGATCCCTTCCTCTTGAGATGCTAATCCTGCATTTTCAGCTTCTAATATGGCCCTTTTCTGTGATCGACCAGAATCTTTCGAAATTGAGCAAACTCTCCCCAACCCAACCTTTGGTCGAATTGCTTCACATCAGAACTTAATTGATTTTCTGTAAAGAAATTTGCGCTGTTGTTTTCGACTTCATGACTGCATAACCTGTGCTGCATCAGTTTACCCCATCAAAACTTCCTCTATTGTTTTCTGAAACCTTATGGGCCACTGAATATGGAAAGTTCAGGCATCATTTCTTCTGTCCTCCGTTTGTAAAATCCAAATATATTCACCGTTAGCGTCTCAAATACTACCTGAACAACTATTACTCGTTTTGATGTTTATGGGAAAATTTGTCGCAACGGTTTTAAGCGAAGTGACCGCTTCCGTATGATTGGTTTTAGTCCGCTCCGGACAATTTCAGGTTATAAGGCGATGTAATATTCTCATGTCATATTTGGTAAATATCCTGTAAGTAAAGGAGGTTTATTCAATTGTTCCATTGATTTAGTTTTCCAAATATGTTTAATTCTCTTAGTCAATTTCCATGTCATTATGCTTTAACCTTGCGTCAAATGCGTAAGCACATCTCCTTTTTCAAAATTCACTGCAAATTTACTTGAGGTACACAAACGTTTACACAGAAATCTGGAGCTAAGACTTGCCTAATTCAGTACATTTTTACGTAATAAAACCTTTCTTTCATCTCCAGGTTACAAATTCCGTTCGGCATCTGACGTATAACCCAAAGTAAACTTAACTCTGCTGCGGTTAGCATGTAAGAATAGGCCTTCACTGTGACTTGCTAAACTTCTTCCTGCGGAAGCACTTTGTCACTTCCTTAGAAGTATCGAACATGTTCAAGAGTCCACGCCGTTTAGCTCGAGGCTCTAATCTCGTTCCCATGCAATTGTATTCCAATCTATGTATTGCTCATTTGTCCCAAGCAAAGATTTTGAAGAGTAACTTTGTTGGCATAATTTTCTTTTCACATCGCTGTAATACGTATGTGAAACTGCATATAAACCAAGGGATGTGTGTGTGTGGGTGTGATCGTCTGGTTGACTGTGGAGCCTGGTGCTGTCAATGGGGAAGTTTGGAAGGAGACAGAAGAGGCGGTGGCGGCAATAATGAGTGAGAACGAGTGAAGTGGTTGTCCTAAATCTCGAATCGAGTTAGTCTACCACCCTTTCGTCAACTGGCTGCCAATGCAGTGAGGTAGATCCTTTACCGCTCATGCTTTCTCCCTACGCGAACACGTACGCACCTACGCTGCACACGATTATTGCTAGCACGCCTTGGATGTAATCACGCAGTTGCTGTGGCCTCCAAGCTCGAGGCTCCTGTCGCTGCCTCTACCCCTCTAGGCCCATCTATGCTGACTCACCCCTCATTCAGAAGTGTCAATCTGTGAAACATTCCTCCGACCTCCAGATCCTTCATTAACTGTTTTTTGGTCAGTCACATCCTCTATTTCTCTAAGGGAGATCAACCTCCTGACTTGCTCTAATGGCGGTGGAATGTCAAATTATACCGTGTTTGTCAAACAACTTCATTAGGTAGAATGCATGAATCTAAATTTTGTGTGCAATATCAAAGGAATGCCAGTGTTTTACTTCTTACACTGTTCTTCTCTTTTACCGATTATACTGTTTAAGGCGACTATTTCCGTTGATATTCCTCAGTACAAAGGTATGCCTTGCAGCGCGATCTTTCTTCCGCGTCTACCTTGCAATTGGAGTTATCTCGTCTTTAATGTGTCCATCATCTACTTAATAAATGCTCCTGTTATTTTCGACAAAAGGAAAGCTTCTCACCAGTTGATGCACTTCCAGAGGTAAACCGAAAACATCGGAGTGTGGAGTTACATTTCTGTCGACGTGTAATTTATTGCAGCTGTATGCTTAGTGTGGTTCCACTCGTCTTTTTAGTCACTTTAGCTTGTTTGTTTTCGGATTCTTACTTGTTTGTTTGCTTAGCTTATTTATTTGTCAAAAATTGAGAATGGGTTTACAATTTGGTTACTCTACTTCAATGTCGGAGGGCTGGTTGAGAGAGCCTGATTCTCTTTTATGAGATGCGGCTTTTTAACAAAGGGTGTGGGGGATGAGGCTCCCTTCTCCAGCCACTGGTCGTCGCACACACTCGTCCCTGTGTGCATCCTACGTCCATGCAAGTTAAGATGATTCATGTGAGTGTGCATGCGTGTTGGTGATATGCTAGCACAAACAGACATTCAATAAGTTGAACGCACACATTCACACAAGCGCTCTACAAACTATTGGGACTAGGCGTTCAGGAATGCACATGCTGAGGGATTCTGGACGCTTTATCCTGTGTGTTTGCTTGCGACAACGTCACTTTCAAAAGCGTGAACTTGTGTGGCCTTTTGCATTGTGTATAATATATTGTCAACTAAGTCTTGAAATGTAGTCGCCCCAACTGAAAAATTCCCTTTTTTCTGTTTAATAAACATTCAATCTGTTTTGCGCCTATGGTACGTCCATCTGACGAACCGTGAAATGCTTTAATAGGGTTTTTAGTACCCAGAATAACTCCGAGCTGGTTGTTTATAAATGAATAAAAGGCTAAATACAATCGTGTCTTCTGCATATATTCGAGACATTTTCACTGTAAGGCTCCATCCCTTCCATTGTTGAGTAATAATGTTGGTTGCCTTTGGACTGATACAATTGCGTCCGATTGGACTTAGGAAAAAAGTGCACAGTAAAATCAAATCCGTCACGTCAATCACCATTTTAAAGATCATGTATTGGTACTACTTAAACAAATAAGGCGCATAAAACCTAGCATAGGTCTTTTCTATGTTGCAACAAGATGAGTAAGCCCTATGAGGCGAATTACAAAACGTCAGTGTCTAGCATCTCGTTGAATGTCTTTGTTACTCTTTCCATTCGTGGGTAAGGCTGATTAACGTTAGTTCTCGGGCTTTCAGAATGCCTAGTTTAAATTTGTTTTCTTGACAAATTTTGCATTTGGAAGCTTAAATTATATCAATTGTGATTTTACCGGTTCTTCCAATTTATTACTGCTATGGAAAGTTTGGGCTTATACTGGTAACCAATTCTCGATGTGATTTTGGCTCACTTTTTGTCGGAAGGATCAAAACAGTACAGTAAAGGTACAAGCTTCTCTGGCAGTAGATAAGGCCAGTTCTAAGAAGTATGCGTAGTATGCGTGCTCTTATCCGGGTGCTGATGTTGATGCTACTTTCTTTAGACTTTTTCCGGTCGGATCTGATGGAGGCGCGGAATCGGTTGCACGAGGCCTTCAGCGGTATCTATGGCTACAACTACAAGGTGAACCATGCCTTCTTTTTCCAGTTCTTTAATGATCTCGAAGCCTACATGGCTGGACGTCGCGGCGACCTGGCCCAGTTAGTGACGAGCTTCTTCAATCAGCTGCGCACCTCAATCGTAGTATTGATGGAGAAGGCAGAGGTGGCGACGGGCTCCACCGCCACGCCCGACTATCAGCGCATCAACTGTCTGTCCGAAGCTCTGGGCAAGCAGAACGCCTTCGACCTCACGGACGTGCACCTGCGGGAGCAGTTCCTTCAGGTCTATCCACCGGCACGCATGCTTGTTAATTCGCTGGCTGCCGCAAGTAAACTCCTGCGCACCATCGTTGAGGATGTGAGTTCAGTATATGCATGTGTGCAGGTCTAAGTTATTCCCAAGACAATATTTGGGGGCAACTCTTGCAACGAAACGGAAGGGTCGAAAACTAGCGGAGAGGATGGTACGGTGACCATGTGCTGGTAGACCTAATTAATGCGCACTCTCGTGCAAGACAGCAATCAACGCATTACTTCCATTTTGGGAAGCTGAATATAGACGTGTTTTCAGAGCTTCCAAAATCACCGTCTTTCACCTCGTTTTCTTTTTTGATCTAATCCGATGCCGATAAATGAAGTACTTAAGCTAAGACGTTTTAGAAATGGGGGCCCACAATAAAAGTTTATTATATACCCCTCTCTATTTCTACTCACTGTAAAATGTGGCTTAAAATCATAACTGGTGACTATTACTACTGCATTGGTTCAAAAATGACGAAAGATTCAATAAGAACACAAAATTAAGGTGGATGGCGTTTAATACAACCACTTGATGAGTTGAGTGTCTCTTGACAACCCGTCTCAAGACGCATTTCATCAGCTGCTCGAGGGAGCACAGTTTTTCGTCCATCGGGTGACCTTTTAACCTCGTTGTCTTTACTTTTTTCTTCACTTTGCCGCATTTATGTCAAAAACAATAATATTAGACTTTTCGCATTGCCATGGTAGATTAAACATCAGCAGATGTATGCGTACATCTTCCTCCGTAGGTTTATGTAAGCACCTTATTTTTATCACCATTACGGATGTTCTGTTGTCAAGCCACCGCAAATGTTTATCTGTCTCCTAGCAGTGGCAATTATGTCTTGGCGCGTTCTTCAAGCACCTGCATGCTAACAGACGGCCATTTTAGACAGGTCTGATCGGAGTATCCTAGCTCTTGTGTTTCCTCAACCTCTATCATTGCTTGCACAGCTGACTAATTAAATTTCATTGCCGAAGTATTATCCAGACTGGCTGGCTTTTGTTCTGGACGGAGGCGATTTCTGTTCCCCAAAAAGGTCGACTTTGAGGGTGAGGTAGCGGCACTTGGCACTCAATACCACTTTGTACCCTTAGGCTGTGCAGCAAGCACTACAACTGCATGAAATGGCCCTCCGTCTTTAGAAACTTTCATTCTTCCTCGTTTTATATACACGACGCCCAAAACCACACACGCGGTTACACGTTTTGACCGATGCAGACCCTTTTCACAACCACCGGGCGCTATCCTCTTAAGTTTTGCCTTTTCTCCTGTCTGCTGCCGCTTATTCAGTACCCAACCCTAGTGTCGTTGTCTGTCTGCCTCTTCCCCGCACCTAATCCCTTTGCTTTTTGAATTTACATTGATTAACGAGTCCTGCTATTCGCTCATTCCTTGGTTTTCCATGCGCTAGACGAAAGGGAAATGGACTTTGCCTTTCGCTAGGCGAAACCAAATGCAAACTTTATATACCATGCATTGTTTTCTGTATTGAGGGGGAACTCGATCTTTCTGTATCTTGGCAATCAGTCATGAATAACTGCTTGTGGCTAAATTGGGTAGTTTTCAGGTCGTCCGCATACTCGTACATTAATCCTCTGCTCTTTTTCCATTCACGACTGTAGGTCAAGCATGGACACTGTTACCCCACTTCACTGTTTATTTCTTATTAGGTACCTTTTCATGGTGGTTTTATGGATTCTTCCGACTTCACTTGCTATCCGTAGGAAAGTTTCATTGATGTCCCATCTAATCTTGGCCCATGCTTTGGGAGATGCAAATCTGCGTCGTCTAAATATTTTTTAATCTTCAAAAAGGTGACGTGAAAAGCATTCGTATTGGTTAAGTAGCAGACAGAAGTCTGTGCGAGTAGAAGGTTCTAGCCTGCACCTATTTATGCTACCACTGTCACAGTTCGACAAGGGCAAGTGTGGAATTGCAGTGAAGCCTAGAAGCAAGCTCACAGACTTTATACACACTTGGTTTGTTACAAATGACCATAAGCCTTTCACAGCAACGCTGTTTTCACACGACCCATTCCATAGAGCGACGCCTCAGCCGCCTTGTGGAACCTTAGGGACACGGACACCAGCCTCGGTGCGAGTGTGGTTTGTTGGAACAAGAGGAGGATAGCGGAGTGCTGTTTCAGAGACTAATGGATAGTGCTGAATAATATTCATGGGGTTGGGTTGCCATGTGGAAAAAGGCCGATGAGATTGCGACGTTGTATGTCGTTCTACTTCACCTTTTCTCCCCTGTTCATTATCTCGGCGTGTGGGTTCGGAATTAAAAGTGCACAATGCCTTTTGGGACGTTTTTTGGTGATCTAGTGAACCGAGGAGTAATTTTCTCTCTGTCTTACCTTTACCGCTTTCGTTCCCGAAGGGATTTCATTTGGGGTGGGGAGCGCTGAGCCATCACCATCTTATTGGCTGAATCTTATAATGGTTAATCTCAACTCTGTTTCGACATCTTGCCCCAAATGTTAGATCTCACACGAGTCATTATTTCAGTTTTGGAAGCCTGTTTTATACATATATGTAGTAAAGATGTTTTGTGAGCGTTGCGCGCATCAGTGAAGCCTTTGTTCACCTTACCTATTGCCCCAATCAAAACAATATTGATTGGACCGAGCTCTTTTCTATCTTCATTTCTCTCATACTTTCCATTTAATTTTTACCAATCAACTTCAGTAGTGTTTCGACAAACTCCTCACGAGCTTGACACAAGCCTCCCTCTTCATTGAACAAGATTCTCCTAGTTATCGCGCCATTTGACTGCTGCTCCCACACCCATACGTTGTGTTCCCCATCAACTTTAACATTACAATACTGTCTGTCACCACTTTGCCGAGCCTTTAACCAGAAAAATCGAGTGGCGAGTTTGTAGTAGTTTGTCTTAGATTCACCTACTTATTCTTCTGTATTAGTTAGCTTTCGATTCTACCCGGATTCATTAGCATCTTATCACATAGTCCGCCTTTATTTCATCTAAATTTCCGGTTTCGGCTGCCCTTCTTTTTCCCATGGTACTTGCGGAATCCATCTCTTCCTACTCACCGATATTTCTTTCTTTGTGTTATTGGCGAAGCCAAATCCATTAATCTTTTGCTAGTGCAAGTGCTGTGGCCTTCCTTCCTTATCTCTATTCATTTTCATTTGGTATGCTTTGACTCAGACTGGCTTCACTACGTCTTTGGGAATTTTGGGATGTTTTACCATAATAAATATTTCGCCCAACAAGTGTGGCTTGATATTTTGTTAATATCACTGAATTATAGTGCAACCATTTCCCAACGTTCATAAAATTCGTTTCACAAAGGTGAATTCTTCAATAATGAAAAGGCTCCACCTTTTGTTGTTGCAGCAAAGTTACTGGTTTTGGTTGAGGATTGGTTGAAAACCTCCATAAAACGGTTTAAACCAACCTATTGGCTCAAGGGTACTCAGACATCATGAATTTTGCTAGTGTTATAATCGAAATTTCTGGACAGATTAATAGCTTCGTCGGGAGCCGACTGCTTGTTTTAAACCGTGTCACGATGTTCATCCACATTACTCCAGTATATGGCGCCGTAGATGCGGTGATGTAAATGCTAATTTGGTAGCACATATCAGATTCTTTTGCGCCTGTTGTTGCTCTTTAAAAATAGAGATGTCATAATCTATGCCTGTCGTTGTGAATGTCAGTCACCACCATTCGAGAGAAAAGTTTTATATTTGGTTGCAAAGTTGTCCAAACTCGTGTATGCTGCTGTTCAGCACATCCCACGCGTCTGCTACATAAGCGTCTGTCCATGGATTTCGGCTAAGTGTCTAGGGCCATGCGGTCGTTTAGGTTTTATACTATCTTAATTATTCACTATTTAACCCCTAAGTATACTGTATTTAAGTGCTCGATGGGATCCGCACAGACCTTCCCTTACATTGGAAACTTAAGTGAGTTCTTTGTCGCCCATGGTTTCTGTTGCGTTTGCCGGTTCCTGCCGCCACCGTAAGCACCCACTGTATGGCCATGCTTTATGAATAGTGAATTAACTTTATTTTCACGCCCAGCCAGGGAGTCTAGTATGCATATATGAAATGCTCGTAATGACTGGTTGAAAGCTCATGCTTGCATAAGCTCTTTTATCTTGGAATTCTGAAAATTCGAACACATTCTTTCCCAACTTGGCTTTCTTGGGACGATTCCCTATCTGATTCACTGTCCGTTGATTCGTCCTTAAGAGTTTCTGGTGTCTTAGTCTTGAAGTGCAAATTTTGAATCGGGTGTAAATAGTAATTTCGAAGAAACATGTACGTTATGTAACAGAGCCTATGTAGTAAGGTGAAATTACGTCCAATCAATGTACGTTTGATCTTATGCTTTATAAGATGCAACTGCATTTTTCATCACTTATCTTATCTTCAATGTAATTTTGAGTTTTACCCAACCTCATTAGTGTCTTTAATCGTTTGGTATTATTTTTATACTCGGGTTAAACTATCTGTCGTGATCATCTGTCGCCCAAATTTAGTCACTACTAACTGCCGGTTTAATCCGAATCTCATCTGATCGTGCCTGTCACTCTTGAAATGCCCACAGTGTTACCGTCACTTTTCCGACCGTCAGTTGGAAAGACTCCCCTCTATGTGTGAAAAAAACTCGTCAATACAAAAGTCAAAAATAGCTTTCCTTCAGCACCGTGGTTAAGACAACCTTGTTACCGTCATAGAGTTTAGGTTTTACCTCTCGGTGTTTTGTGGGAAACTGCAGTTACCATCTGGCCAACAATTTTTTCCAATTTTCCATATGTAGCAGAATTGGTAAAAAATGTGCTTTGAATGCTAATATACTAGAGTAAGCCGAAATCTGGTTTTCGACGAAATGCACACTCGAATGAAGTAGGGGCGAAAAGACTCCACACCTTCCCTATATTTACCACCGTCCAATTTCATCCAATTTCCTATGACCCTTCATGAAACTTTACTCTGGCAGTAGAGAAAAAACGCTCTCGTTGCGACGGCTACTTTAGAACCAGTTGCTGGCGTTTTATTTTTAATTATTAGCTGACAGCGCCTTTCACACCCCGAAACCGGTAGTTGTTCCGTCAGCGCATGCAGAGGGCGAGGTGTTTGCCAAATCCTATTGTGTGTGTGTGTGTATGCATGTGTGTGTGTGTATGTATATGTGTGTGTGTGTATGTATGTGTGTGTGTGTATGTA